ATGCGAAGTTGACAAATTGGCCGGTTGTTTGAGCCTTCGAAAGTGAGAAGTGCAGGTTCAAAGTTTGTGGAAAAGCTGGCGCTTATATTCAAAGGCCGACGGCACAGATGTGCGCGCTTTGGCAACAGCCTTCTTAATGTTTACAAGCATGTGCGGTTGACGCGGAAATTGGCCGCACGTCTAGGAGAGGAAAAAATCGAGCCGCTGCCAAGATGATGGGGTAGGTTAAGGTGCTCCAGCTGCGCGAACCGCAGATGCGTGATTTCGCGACGCGCAGCTCGAGCGCGAGCATTTATCAGCTCTTGTCGCACATTTAATTACATCCTTATTTTTCCACCTCATAATTAGTGGAGTTTTGATTTTTATATTCGCCTCTGTGGATTAAATTCATGGTAATAATTATGTTTGGGTTGCTCGAGTGAGATATTTAGTATTAAGTTCGCTGATTTGTTATAAATTGAATTGCATGACGAGTAGAAATGAAGAATTTATAATTCGTGAAGCGAATGCTAGTTAGGATGAAAAATACATATTCATATGCATATCATTGTAAATTTATGTCCTTTTAGAGAATAAAATTTCCTCGTTTCACAGAATTTTCTGAGAAAGAGACGCCGTTTAAAGTAGAGTGAAAGCGGATTAATTTTTTTATCACTACAAAAAAGCGGATATTTTTTCTTTGAACTAATTTATAGTCCTTTCTGAAAGACAAGGCTCATACTTGTTACTTTCAAACTTTTTCGCGATTCTGTCCAAAGTGTAAAACTGAAGTTTTTTTTATGCTCTATCTAAATTATAATTAATTTTTCTATTATACTTCTATGTATTCATTGTTTTACTTAAATAAATTGATTTTGACTTACTGTGTAAAACATTAAAAAATATATAATCAATTTATAATGACGATAATTATTTACATATATGACGTAATTGTATATAAGTAAGAATTTCAATACAATTGCGTAATTATTTGATAATAGGTTGTAACGCGAACAATTAATATTACATAGCGTATTACGCTAATGAAGCGATTGCAGATTCAAGCCATAATTATTGAGTCTACAAACACTAAAAATTACTTAAAAAAGAAAATTGAATACTAAATTGTATATAAAAATTTGTAGCTGTATGTGTACTAATAACTTAAATTATATTTCAGTTTAAGAGATACTTGATTCTACCAAAAAATTAGTAGCAGTCGGTCTTTTACGACACGAGTCGTATTACCGACAATTCATAAGTATATACGAAATTACGTCATTTAGCTGCTGATACTTTATGATAAATAGTGCAATAATAAATCAATATTTAATATGCGAAACACAACGTTTATTTAATACAACGTGTATATTATTTGAAATTTTAACCACAAAATTTGATGAGGCCAATGGGGGAAAAAGACAAATATGCTTTTACAAATAAATTATTTAAAACTTATCATTTTATATTATGTCAAAATATATATGGTATGAAAAAAACTATACCAATTTAGTATTTTATGCGTTCCTTACCATCGTCCAGCAATAAGTCTCGAATGAATTTATCTATCACAAACGCATCCGAAACATTAAATCCGAAGTTCTTGACAATTGTTACGTATTGGACTCGTTACATTGACTTTTTGCCATTTTTGTGAGTCGGATCGTCGTAAATCAATTGACAATCACTTCGCTGCATCCGAGATGCGCAATCAGCGAATCATGAGCGATAACACCGACTAATTTATGGGCCACGGAAAGAGCCCCTCCGAAGTCAATGCAACTCGGCCTTGGCAGTTAGTACGCGCTTTATATATGTATTATTGGGCTACGGTCTGTATATTTTAAGAGAGCCGTACGGGAATTTTCATGATGTTGATAGCGTCGAGAGACAGGAGCGATACGATGACACGTCGGCTTTACGAAGAGCTTACGGTTGTTTTTTCATTGTGATGAGTGAGTGTGTGAGAGAGAGAGAGAGAGAGAGAGAGAGAGACGGACAGAGTGGGAGGGGATCTCGCGATTCGCTTCTTTGACCTTAATGTGTTTTTATCCTGCCTTGTTGTCGACTCCTCTCCCGCTGCCTTTTTCCTACGCTCGCTCATTTCGAGTGATTGACGATGACGGATGCGATATTGAGCATGAAGAAAAGTGCACAGCGATACTACAAATGGGGCTTTCGTAATAAAAGCTCTTAATGATCTCGGCTCTTATGAGTATCGAGCGATGTGAATTGTTCGCTTGTGAGCAAGATGCGCTTCGGACTAGATCGTTAGATATTTCTCATTTTTCACATGTTAATATTAAACAGGAGACTGTTTGTCTGACGGTTTTTCTTCACTTTCTTGTTCGCATTTCCATCTTATATTTGAATTAGGTATTTTCCGACTACTGATTAATATGGATATCTGCCGATATTCACACTAGCGCAGACATGCTAAATTATTATAATAAATAAAATTCACATTGTATTTCAATATAAAGTTTATTTTAATAAAATAATAATTGATTGCAGTCAATAGTAAAATAATAATTAATCAATTTTCAACATCGACTCTGTACCACTTACTCCAATTTATCCACTCACTATGCAAATTCAATACCACCTGCAATACATTAATATTTAGGTTCATTCCTATTTAGGTAATAATTATATACATTAATTTATTCGAACAAATTTTATAAATAAGCCCCTCGATAAACTATGGTACATCTTATATAGTTTCCACTATAATGGCATATAATTGTTAAATATTTAATGGAGATAAAATCATTTATTTAATTAATTATATGTATACATAATGGTTTACCGTTCGATGTAGGTAGTAAACATTTAATTTTTAATTTTTAAAGATTTTTTCTTAAAAGATACTTTGAACGCTAAAATTTAAATGTATTAAAGAATGTGGAGTAAAATAAGTATAAGTAAAATTAAGAGAGGCAAATCCTAATTCTAGCCTCTACGAAAACGTACGCTACAGTTGAGATGTTCATTCCGTAATCCGCACCGAGAGTCA